CACATAAAATACGTGCCTCATTTCTGAGGGAACATCATTTAGTCGTTCAAGTCTGTGTGGTAGAATAGCCTTGCTATTTTGCATACTGAATTTTTTTTAACAGGTCCTTAAATGTGGCAATTTTGTAAAGACATAAATTTGTGTCTGAATTTGAAAATAAGACAGGATATGTACTGGATATTTATTATTCTTCATTATTCCAATTTTAGTTTTATCATGCTTCACTTGGTTGCTGACCATCAATATCAAAAGGTGAAAATTTGAGACACTTGTAACAGAAGACAATCAATTACTGCCAATCAGATTTTGCTTCCCAGTTTAGACACATTTACTTTGTACTTGGATGCTAATTATTATACAGCAATTTGGTGCCCAATCTTTCCTTATGTAAGATTCAAAAGTCAGAACAGTTTAAAAAGACGGAATGGAAACAATACTCCTTTAAAAAGACTGACCAGAGTAGTCTATGAGAATCAAGACCCATGTCACCCATGTTCTGCCAGTGCTACTTGGAATTTTTAGACATCTAGAGAAAGTGGATGGTTATGGGCTGGTGGTGATAGGAAAGGGGGAAGAAATTTCAGAGTGAAAATCTGTGTTACAGTCCTACAACTCAGACTTTTAACTGTCTTGCTTTAGTAGTCACTTCAACAGATTTAAAGCAGGGACCTTCAGATTTAGAATTCTGTGGCAAAATTTGCACCTAATTTACATAGCCCTGACTTTTAAGTGACTCTGCTTACCAAATCTACATAGAAATGCGACAGGTTGTCACTGATCAAGCACAGCTTCAGTTTTGTGTAGTACAGTTCTAAGCAACCCATGGGCCTTTAATGACGAATGCTTGTTTTGTGAGCTAACAACATCAAAAGCACTGCAGAAATCAGCAGACTTCAACAAAGTCAGAGGTGACAGTAAAATAAATTTCATATCACAATAGGATAATAGTGTAATAAAACAAACACCTCTGTATTACCAACATTCTAGGACTGGGCACAACGTAACTTTGATTTCCTATTAACAAAAACAGAAAATGGTGGAAAAGCAATTGCTGGGTGAGACGGCGGCTCAGTGGTTAGCACTGCTGCCTTAGAGGCGGGAACCCAGGTTTGATTCCAACCTTGGGTGACTGTCTGTGTGGAGTTTGCACACTCTCCCCGTGTCTGCGTGGGTTTCCTCTGGGTGCTCCGGTTTCCAAAGATGTGTGGGTTAGGTGGGTTGACCATGCTAAATTGCCCCAGAGTGTCCAGGGATGTGTAGGCTAGGTGGAATAGCCATGGGAAATGCAGGGTTACAGGGACAGGGTAGGAGTGTGTCTGGTGGCATGCTCTTTGGAGAGTCGGTGTAGACTTGATGGGCCAAATGGCCTGTCTCCAAACAATAGGGATTTTATGATTTCTATGAACTCAGAATCTGTGGGGAGAAAGCAGAATTAATGTTTTGGGTCTAGTGACCTTTGCTCAGAATTGATTTCAGCTGATGATGAGTTGGGGGGAAGGGGAAAGGAGTAAATAGTAGATGGAGATAGAGTCCAGAGAGGAAGAGAGATAAAAACAGTTGTGCAGACAAAGGAATAGGTAAGGGTCAATCTGGGAAATCAATAGCTGCTAATAGGGCCAGTTAGTGGCTGAGAAGCAGATGTTTTTGATGGCAGCCCATGTGATGATAAAGTCTAGTGTGTGGGGTTTGGGGAAAGGGCATGGGAGAAGATGCTCAGGCCCGAACATTTTTGAACTCTATATAGAGTTCTGAAGGATGCAGCATCTCCAAGAGGAAAATGAGATTGTGCTGTGCTGTGCTGAGCTTCACTGGAGCACTACAGCAAGCCTGAGACAGAGACTGTGGCCAGGGAATACAGTGGTATATTGAAGCAGCAGGCAACAATGGGGGCAGCCCGGTGGCTCAGGGGTTAGCACTGCTGCCTCACAGCACCAGGGACCCAGGTTCGATTCCACCCTTGGGCGACTGTCTGTGTGGAGTTTACACATTCTCCTCGTGTCTGCATGGGTTTCCTCTGGGTGCTCCAGTTTCCTCCCACAATCCAAAGATGGATTGGACATGCAAAATTGCCCATAGGGTTCAGGGACATGTAGATTAGGGGGATGGGTGTGGATGGGATGCTCTGATGTCAGTGTGGACTTGTTGGGCCGAAGGGCCTGTTTCCACACTTGTAGGGATTCTAGGATGACGAAGCTCGGGGCCATCTCTACGGACAGAATGTAGATGTTCTGCAAAGTGGTCGCCTAGTCTGTGTTTCGTCTTCCCAATGTACAGCAGACAACATTGTGAGCAGCAATTACGGTAACCAAATTGAGTATTGCAAGCTTCTACACAAAGCCATGATCCCACAAACAGCCACACGATAATGAGTAGACAAGACAATTTAAAAAAAAAAAGTGATTTGGCTGAGGGATAAATATTGATCAGACCAAAAGACAGGGCATTCCTATTTTTTAAGTGAATTGTTCTGCAAAATCTTTTACGTATACCAAAGCACATCTTCCTTATATAGAAAGTCCCATTGAAAGCAAGAATCTCTGATGGTACAGCACTTCCTTAGCATAACAATGGAGGACTGTACCAGTCTATGTTTCTATGCTCTACAGTGTGGCTTGAATTTACAGCCTTCAGATGCCAGGGTAAGCATGCTGCCTCTGAGAGCGGTGTATAAAAGGTATTTACACAAATACAGTAAATAAAATAATAAACTGACAGGTATTAAACAAACCAGTGAGCAGCAATGGATTTAAAATTACTTTCAGAATTTCTACCTGGCCAAATAGCCTTAAGAGAAGAGATATGCTCACAGCAGAGACGCAAAGATGCCCTATTTGTATAACAAATTATATTTAGGTGTAAATGACAATCTTGGTCAGTGACCTGGATGTTAATTGAAGCTGCCAAAAGCCATTTAATATTGGATTTGCTCCAAATTTTATTCCATGGTTGAAATCATCCTCTCCAACAATCCTGAAGTATCCAGCTGATCCATGACTGTCCTCAGAACAAAGCTCCAGCTGTTCGTATACGAGTCTTTAGCAATGACCATTGTTTACACTGTTGTAATCCTTAAATCCAGATCTTAGTGGGGCACATTAAATACAGTATATTAATGTGGAGCACTCAGATCACTTGATTAAATTAAAATCCAATAGAAATTTCAACTTCAATCAAGAGATTGCACAATCTTCTGTATGCACCTATTGGCCATTATTGGAATGAGCTTATGAGATTTCCAATCTGTCTGCCTTTAATTTAGAAACTGAATGGCCAGGAGCAATAACTTTGGATATTAAATTTATGAACAATAAAATAAAAGACTAACTATATAAAGATGTAATGACTGGGTGACATTGCAGTGCATATTGATTACATGGAGGATTCAAGGTCGTGGAAGGGTGCATGAAATGACATATTTGAAGGCTCCGTGCTGAATTTTAGCAAGGAAAGAAATTACAAATGCAGGGATCCTTTGCCACTTGTTACCCCAGTCACAATCAGCACAACTGAGATGGAATTGGCTGAGCCTACAAAATGATCAGGCCATTTAAAATGTGAGTTAAGCCTCAAGCTTGAGTTTCTGCAAATTTTTTTAATATGCTGCTTCAAGATCAGTTCAACCAAATCAGGAATAAAAACAGAAAATACTAGGAACATGCAGCATCTGTGGAGAAATAAGCAGTTAACATGGCCATTTATCAGAACTATTTGGAATGTTAACTCAATTTCACTCTGCACAGATGTTGCCAGAACTGAATGTTTCTAGCATTTTCTATTATAGGATTTCCAGCCACAGCAGTATTGTGTTTTTCCTATCAGTTACATCAGGTCTTAACCACACTGACTGCCAATATACCCAGATGATCAAAATAGTTTTGGTTGACTTTGTGGGTTCAGGAAAGCTCTTCTATCTGTGCTAAATTTCTTAGGCACACAGAAACAAGTTTGCATGATTTTAATTGTTTTTATTTCAAAAATATTTAATTCACTAATAAACTGACTAGAGGCCAGTTAGCTCAAACAGCTAACGTGCATGGTTCATAATAACAGCAACAGAATGGGCTTGATTCTTGCTGAGGTACATTTAGGATCTGCCTGTATACCATTTGCCGGAGTGGAAGGCAATGGTAAACCACAACTGGTTAAAAAAAAACTGCTAACAGCTCAGTATGAAGCATTAGCAGACACTGAGCCAAGCACCTGTCTTCAGGTGGAACAAAAGACTCTGAACCATATACATCGAGTAAAGTATTAAACGTTTCAGTGCATTATACATACTTTTTAGAATCACTCATTTTAGTGATTTAGGTCAGGTTACCTACATAGAGGTTTATTAAACATTTATTTTTTGTGACACATATACTTACTTTTAATAATAAAAGGACAGAACATGACTTAAATCTATCAATCATAGAATTCTAAAGTACAGAAGAGGCCCTTCATCCCCGCATGTCTGTACTGCCAAAAATACACTACTACCAACACCAGTCCTACTTGCCTGCACTAGGCCCAAAGTTTTGAATGCCATGACACTTCAAGGGCTTGTCCAAGTATTTTTTAAAGGCTGTGAGGTTTCCTGCCTCAACTAGCCCGCCAGACAGTGTATCCCAGTGCATTTTTTTATTACATTACCAGAGTAAACTATTTCATGGTGGATTTTGAGTTATGTGATATTGCAAAATCTTTAAAAACTTGAACTATGAGCTAACCACCACAATTTTGTATTTTATATGAATGCAATTTCCCAAACTGTCGAAAATCCATGGTAATGGAAATGTGTGACTACTTATCATGTTCCAAATACTACTGGGTGACATTGAGACAGCATGATTATTTAAACTATAGATCAGAAAAGAGCAGCTGCTGCTGCCACATTGTACCGGAGTAATTCTTCTAACAGTAGAACACATCAGCTAACCACAGAGATAGTAGGAACTGCAGATGCTGGAGAATCCGAGACAACAAGGTGCAGGGCTGGATGAACACAGCAGGCCAAGCAGCTAATTGTTAATCAGTGACCCACAGTATCTTGCAAGTCCTTCATATCATAAATTCTAAAGGTTTAAACATGGAAGTATATTCTTCTGTTCTCCGGTTTCCTCAGGGCTAAG